GCATAGCGATTGGTTTCAGTTGTGATGTGATTTACCAAGTCGTCATCCAGAAAAAATTTTAATCCATGAAAAGGGATGCATTTTATGTGTTATATCAATTTTGATCCCGAAACTATTAGCAAATGGAAATATTGGGAGTACAATGTCTCCGTACGTTCATGAGATGGGCGTGTCAGGCACCGCACTCGTGGTAGGTAAATGTTCATGATTACTGTCTTGTGGATCATTGTCTATCACTGTATTATTGTCACTATCAACTTCATCCAATTCAGGAATCATTATTTCATCGCCACTATCATCATCAGAACAAATTTCGTTCACAGCATTTTCCAGCTGGTCTGTAGGAACACGAAGACACTTGCTGCAAGAAGACATGGTGAAACTGAATGAATGTGAAATATTTTCTGACCTTTTCCTTCTCAGAGGGTTCTGACAGTAATATAGACCCCCACAAAGTTTACAAGGGTTCTTTACAAACATGCACAAAAACTATCATATATATGTCTTTGGTTGATGAGTGCAAAGAGAGCAAAGAAGGGAAGAGATTGTCAAAGCGTTAAAACACGCCAACGCCAGGGAACGGCTGGCATCGTCCGGGCGTTAAAACACGCCCGCGCCAGTCAAAGAGTTAATTTGGATTCATCAATATTTCCACCATAGTGTTTAAAACAGTAGGATGTAAACACTGTACGATTTCTTTTGCAATCTTGCTACAATCATAAATCCTAATATTTAGGTCAATATATCAATTTTTTATTATTCACCATTTTTAAGCTACACTTCTGTGATGCAAAGGGTAACATGGGGCAATGAAAACTCCACATAAACACCCATTCTTTGTGTAAAAGTTAAACACATTATGCTCTTTAGTATTTTAAACTCAGAAGTTATTGTCTTTTAGTATTATGTTTATAACTTGTGAAATGCTTACAGCAAGTAATGTCAATATTAAAATAAAGGATAAATGAAACATTTCTTTGTGAACTGAAGAATGTTCACGTTACATTGGTATGAACATTTGAGGTTACGATTGCAGATACAATACTTTGAATAACATTAAATGAAATATTCTGTACATTTTTTAGAGACAGACAAACACAACAGAATATAATGACATTAGAATACATACCTTTGGCCTAAATGCAGCTTTGTAAATGTTCCTAGAAAACATGGAGCTGGAGGACAAGATGCTAGCATCAGCTGATGACATGACAGCAGCTGAAATAGCGCCCAATCCCACGAAAGACACCCACTGGATTAAAAGATAGATATACACTGTTACCCTCTCGTTGGTGCCTCCACCTTATCGTGGTGAGGGGGTTTGAGTATGCCAAGGACCCTGAGAGCTATACCAGCGGTAGCGTAACTACTGGCAGGGCCTCCTTTGCTGGACAGGTCAAAGGGTAGGCATCAGACGAAGAGGGACACCAAAAACCAAAAACTGATGCCGGAAGCAGCGTCATCAGTAGCGACTTGAAGCACAGAGCAAATGATGCTCGAGATGGTTCAAGTTCGTATAGCAACAGGCGTGACCAGAGTGGTTTGAACGGCTGTTGTACTGCGATGTGGAAAGCAAATGGAAAAACTACCACATTATCACTTTTCCTGGATAGTCTCTTTCCAAACACAGAGACACCATGTATGCGAACCAGAAGACGCAAGAAGATGCTGGATGACCTTGGGGACAGAAGAGGATATTCTCATTTGAAGGAGAAATCTCTAGATCGCATTAAGGGGAGAAACTGTTTTGGGAGAGACTGTGGACCTGTCGTCTGACAGATTACTGATAAAAAAAAAATACACTGTTACACATGTTCTACTGGAAACAGAGATATTCGATTCTTCATATTGATAGCCAATTGATAGAGTTTCAATTTCATTTTTCTATTTTAAGATTGCATATTGCTGCTGTTTACTTTAAGCCTTAAGATTAACTGTCATGCACACTTAATGTAAGTTTAGTGGTGGTTATTTTCATGACACGATTTTCTGGATTGAATTTGGTACAGTTTATGTTACAATGAGGCCCACATCCCCTGTATTCACACAGTTCTGACTTCATATCAAGACCAAAATTACATTGCACATTATCCATTTTTCATGCATATTCGGTATAAATGAATGTGTAGTTGGTTGTAATCTGGTTGTCATGTGATTCATTTCCACTATACTGACACATTTTCGTATTGTTTATTTATGGTTACTGGCAACAGTTGGAAGTGAGTTCAGAATTTTTCACATATTAGGCTACTATTTGGGGTTTGCCTTGTCCACCCACAATCTAATAATAACAACCAGTACTGAAAAAATACAAACACAACTTTCAAGAAGCTCTTCTAAATAAGCATTTCTTGTGACAATGATGGCAGCTGATGGTAAGGGTGAAGTTATCCTTGGACTAAATTAGTTAAACACCCCACCATGTAAACATATGGGAGTGTGGAAGGACAGCTTCGCCAGGCAAAAGTCATACAAAATCGTGAGAATTAACATGTTTGCGATATAGGACAAGGCAAAGCCAGACATAGAAAATATAAGGGGCTTAAACTTGGAGGTGGTCATGCTAATGACCGTTCAAATGACTAAGCTGCCATTGTAGCATAAGATGCATAAGGTATATAATATAGGCATGATCTGTACTGACAGAGGACTTGTATATAGTGCATAAGGAAGAATTTTCAGTAATATGCTATATGAGCAATACATACACGTGATGAAAGGCCAAGCATATTCAAAAGAGACAAACCCATCTTCTCACCAGAGAGAATGTCACATAAGGACTATGACCACAAGGGTGCAGTTGAAAAAAAAATCTCTGGTCATAAGCCTCAAGAGGCTTGGCGCCAGGATGAACTGATTGGCGGTAAGCCACCAGTTGCAAATTAAATCTGACCCTGACTGAGTTTAGTTAGTTGTGGGGCAGTCGCCAGCCGGTGAGAACATAAGCCTGGAAGCAGAGGGCACTGTTGGGATCCGTCACCAGGTAACGACTGGTGAAGCTACAGCAGACAGATGCAGCAGAGAAGATTAAATACATGTTTTACTGAACTGCAGAGTGTGTGAATTAGCAATAGCATTATAGCTACTTCTAATTATGAGTTGTGTGTATAAGCATGCAATAAATCTGTTTACCAATCCAAAACCCATCTATAGTCATTTAAAATCACGACAAAAGTTATATACTTACATTGGGAGTTAGGTAGCGCAGAACAAGAGGAAGAATTATTTCACCTTCTGATTCAGAAACATTTCTCTGGAAACCTTGAATGCTTGACCAATCTGTAATGTTAGAAACAGAGTAAAACTAGTTTTATATGTGAATTATAATTACAACAACGCAGTAGTTATTTGTTATTATAGTACGACAATGTGTTTCAATCCCTTAGATCATCTTCTGGTTGTCATAAAACACATAAAACCTAGCATTTAAAAAATTGTAATTTTATAATTTAAATTTTAAGTTTTCAATTTTATTTTTAAACTATGACCACCTGAAGATGATCTAATGACAGCAATATGTCAGTTGGATCAAATTCCAAACTTTAATAGCATTACCACTTCTTTTATTTTACATTTTATTTTTAAATGAGAACACCTGAGTATGGTCTGAATAACTGAATCATACTGTGGAACTATGATATTAAATAACTGTTACCCGGTTATATATTATAAAATAATTAACTGTGTTGGTGTATATAAAAACAATTACAATTGCAGTAATATACAACAGGATGCAAACACTAACATTTAGCTCTGTAAGCAGTAACTTCTTACATTTTATTTGCAAGAACTGGATAATTTCATCCATAATGGGGATATTCTATTTATTTATCTGCATTCTTATTTTCTCAAAATTCTTAATGTCTTTCAGTCACATGTGATCTATAAGTCTGTTCCAGAAGTTTCAATGAAAATTTCTTGGTCATCGTGAGTTCAGTATGATGCCTATTTTACATATACAGTAGAACTTGGTTATAACGTCATCAAAGGGACATAAAAATAGTGTCGTTATAAACGAATGTCGTAATAACCGAAATGGGTACTTCCACAGTAGCCTTATGTTAGTCACGTAAAAATCTACCAAAAACTGAGTTAAAATGTTGCATTTTTTTAGTGAAATACGTAGTTAAGTACAGACTAACGTAACATTAATGTGGAATTGCCCAAATGTGTAATTTCAAAGACATATTACAGCGCTTTTCACTGACAATACACAAAATATTTCACGAATCACTTTAACTTTCTCTTCAATGCTTAAAACTTTCCTTTTCATTGCCATGTTTTCGCTACTGCACTTCTCTGGGTTTAGGCAGGAACACTATAGGGTAAGTAGACAATGTGAGGTCCTGTTAGACGAGATTCTAGGAAAGGAATGCAGTTAACAACCTGCCACGTCCTC